TAGGGTTTGTTTAATCGGAATATTGTAGAGCTTTTCAAGAGCTATTTTTCTGTATCAGGCTTTAGGATAACTTCGTACTGGATTTTGAACAAAATCGTTTTTGCTCAGCATCGATATGTTTTATGTAGAGCATATCTAAAAACCTAAAAAAAAGGTGTTTGCAGGCTATCGGATTGCTCCTATAGCAAATATCAAAATCCTTGGTCAAAATTGTTAACCTACGCTTCGACTTTAGCGTTTCATTAGATCCAACAAGTTTTTGCTTAGAAAAGCCTATTAATCGCACATCATTCGATGTAGTTTCGTGCGGTGATTCTGAATATGTCATTTTTATTAAATCAAAACATTTCTGGATCGACATAAATGCAAAATACCTGGAAAAGTAAGGGTTTTTGGAAAACCCCAAGTGCGGTAACCTTTATCCTAATTTATGCTAACTGTGATGATAGAGGGCATGTAGAAGAACATTCTGTAAAATTTCGGACAAGTTTGAAGTTGGACGGTGAAGTGAGCGCTAGTTTTACTGACACTAGCAGTTCGGAAAACGACTTCGGAAAAACTTTTATGTTTTTGCTCAGCAATCTCCCATTCAAACTCAAGCCCCCTCAAATAAGTGGAAAACAGCATATAAAATTATAAAATATACAAAAATATATAAAGGACGGGGGAGGATAAGCTAGTGTCGAGCACCCCAATAAAACTCAATGAAACTTACATGAATCAGCGTAGAATTCTGAGTATTTTAGCCGTCTTACTTTTCCAAAAATCGCATTTTGATTTTTATCGAAAAATTTAAGGGCAAAGGAATATCGAAAACTTGGAACATCGAAAAACTTTTTTCCTCTAAAATTTTCGAAACACACCTTTTCTGACTTAGAATTTTGTGCTGATCACGAATATGGGATCTAAAGTTAGAAAAAGTAAACATTTGGTAGAGTCGAATGCCAAAAACTGAAGGTTGGTCAAGGTCAGTCCAATTGACAGTTTGCAGGTTTTCACCAAGAAAGAGTCATTCAAAAACTTGAAACTAAGCAGTTACTGGTGAAAATAATTGCTCTATCCAAATATGTAAACAAAAATGCAGTGTGAACGTATTTTGAGCAAAAAAATTAAGAAAAAGAGGAAAAATAGTCAAAAATCGGCCACAATCCCTTACTGTGTCGCCTCAGCATTCCAAACGAAATCTTGAACCAATGTGATACTTACATGCTAGACGCAGTTTTTCACGCTCTATTCACTGGTACTAAAATAAAAATCGAAAAAGGTGTGGAACGTTCTTGAAAACACTAATTACTGGCCGATTTTTGACGATTTTTGACTAGCCGATGTTGTTGTTGTTGCCGCTGTTCTTACTGGTTGAGAAGTGGCATTAGTATGATTGAAATTGATAGTGGACAATTGCTGTAATAGATCATTCGCTTGTGTTGGGTACATTTTTAGTTTTAGGTTATCACAGGGTATCCACGGATGCCACAAGACTTTGTTTCTTTTTTTTGTGATATCCTGCTCTTTAGTAAAAATAAATCTTATCTTATCTTATCTACATAGCTGTCGGTACTGGTAATAGCTTGTACAGATTGCGCTTGTAAAGATCAAACAGTTGTTTTTTGGTGGAGTCCGGATCTGTTGAAATGCTGAGAGTTCTTTCTAATGCCGTGCGCAAAACCTGTTTCTCAAGTTCCTCATCTGATTCTTGTGATGGACTGGCAGCTCGTTGACGTTTTCAATCATTATGATGTGAGCATGATTTGCGACGTTTAGAACGTATTGCTGGCATGAATTCAGGACTAACCAAGGTGTACTGTTAAAGTTAAATAAATTCCTTAAACTAACTTAAACAAGAAGTTTGCTTAAACTAAGTTGCTTCTCACTAGAAAATCAGAAATTAAGACAAACATAAAATTTTTGTTCTTCAACGAAATTTTCGTTCTAGGACTGCTTGACTACTATAAAATGACGGTGACGCTTGCTGCACTTCTCATGAACTAAAATTCGACACTTCCTCGAATTATCAAATCTTAGAAGATTTTCCTGTTTAAACCGTTTCAAGTACGTTTTCATCGAACTCTCAGTATGCTGTGAACGCTTCTCAAGCTGTGTGTGTTTTCTATAAAATAGCAATGAGCGTAATGACACTTTCACCTTGTATTCATGTTAATTTCGAAAATATGTGATTACTCATATGATATAACAGAACAGAACTTGCGTTTTCAACAAATGGTTATTCCACCTTCAGATATGTTTTTATCGTACATATAGTACATTGTGTACAAGAGAAACGATGGGCTTTTATATATAAATGCAGGCTTTGTTTGTGTAGTGAATTCAAACCGTCAAACAGTTTTGTAAAATTCCAAAAAGAGGTTTGTTCATAAACATTATAAAATCATTTTGACAAATGCGATCTTGTAATACTAAGTTGGCGCAGTAAGATATAGAACATACATCTTTAGAGGATTTTAACAAACGATATGCTAATTAATCTTGATAAGATGCACCGAAAGCAGACGTGCAGTGGAATTTATTTTTCTTTTATTTATACACCATTCGATAGAGAATTTGACGGCAATCACGAATACGTGTTCCCTGAACTTTTCGAAGCATTCCTTCCGGTCGAAATTTCGGAAAAACTAGAAAGTGGTGGAAAACTCGATTTTTTGAGTCTTTTTTAAAGTTGAATCTTACAAGTTTCTTTACAACTTGGAAAATTCTAACGACTGTATTCTTTCTGAGCGTCAAAAATTGAAGTAGAAAATGGTCGAAAGACGTTTTTGATCCAAAGGTCCATCCGCGAAGGACCTCGGAAACACAACGACCACAAAATTCGACACGATTTTTCAAAGTTTTCACGCATTTTTCTAGAGGTACTAGAGTCAATATTTCTACATGGCTCGATTCTCTAGATACCAAACTACAAAACTGAACGTGTCGTGATTTTGATTCATATATTATTAACAACTCTGTAGTCATCGGTAATTACCGTCGGTAACGCTTTTACCGAAGTTTACCGCGCGGTAAAATTTTGAGATTTTTTACCGATTTCAAATTACCGCGGTAAAAATTTGAAGTTGTTACCGATACCGCTGTTACTTAAACATATTACCGTTACCGCACACGTCTAATCAGAACTCAACTTTTGAGCAATAAAAATATTATTCGGGATCAGGATAAAAAACTGACTTGATTGATGTGTATTTCGAAATGTTTAGTTAGTTTTCAGTTTTGGGTGAACATCTCGGTAATTTTTGAACGTGAAAATTCGAAAAACATTAACATTACTAAACTTGCATATTCCATTGTGAGACATTTTCATCTTGAAGAACTTATTAAATTCATATGTTTGTATTCAAATAAATCAAGATTTAAATAGAGCTTTTTATACGATACTACATGCATTGAGTAAATACAAAGACAAGTAAAGATGATCCAGCTCAAGGAAAATAAACGACTTATTTCAGGACGCTGTCTAGTGAATATGGCTAGCTCAAGGCTACTCGTCGATTTACTTATGGGACTGAATAAGTCAATATAGCATGTCAGAGCGACCATTGGTAACAGTTGTTGGTGCTACAGGACATCAAGGTGGATCCGCTGTTCTATCATTAGTAGATACAGGAAAGTATAAGGTTGATTCTTCCTTTGTTTCTGTCTAATCAAAATAATTTTAGATAGATTCGTGGTTTGACTCGAGATAATACTACAGTAGTGTAAAAGCTCAAAATTTAAAACGTTCATGTAATAATGACGGTACCGATATTGAACTTGTTAATTGTGATATAATAAATAAAGATGATTTACTACATGCTTTTAAGAACAGTTGGGCTAGTTATTCTGTAACAGATTATTGGGCACAGCCAAATAAACCAGAGATTGAAATGCAACAAGGCAAATTAATGGTTGATGTTGCAGCAGAATTGAATATACCTTATTATATATCTACTTGTGTCGTCAATATAAATGCTCTGAGTGACAATAAATTGTAAATAATACTAATTTATATATATGCGTATATATATTGTTTTTGAATATTTAGAGATGTGCCACATTTTACACAAAAAGCGCTAATTCGAGACTACATTGTCGAAAAATATCCACAATTAAAAACGATATTTGTTCTACCTGGATGTGTACAGAACTGGTTAAAACTCCAGCTAGAAAAAATGAATGATGGTACTGTTGTGTTTCGAGCACCGTTAGATCAAAAAGCAAAATTACATTTAGTTGATATCGACGATACAGGACCGATTGTTGTTGAAATGTTGAAAAATCCTGATCAGTATATCGGTCCAGATATTTGCATTTGTGGTGAAGAAATTGCCTTTGAAGATGTTCCAAAAGTATTTCAAAAAGTGACAGGAATTAAACCCAATTAGGCATGCACCGATTAATAATCGATGTTAGAACACCCAGAAAAATAATCGATAGTCGATTATTTTTCCGCAGTTTTCCTCAGTTTTGGATGTTTCTATATCTGTTACAGATAACACAAAAATGTCCTTTTACATATGATGTATATCATGTTGAAATGACTATTTCAAAATGAGACGCTTCGTCTTTATTCTAAAGACATCATCAGTCAACTGATTCGGACCGACTTTGCTGGCTACCATAACACTGATTCTTAATCGGTGCAAGCACAATGCCGATCGCAATACATTTTTGTATCCCAACTGGGATATCTTGCTGGATCGGGATATATACCCCGATTGAGATATGCTTTCTTATGTTATTATGAATGTTAATGGTATTAAGGCTAAAAAGGTGGAATCCAGTGTATTGTGGAACCCAATATTACCCGTCTCAAAATATTGGGTATACAATAATATCCGATCCGAATATTACTGGATACTCAATAATATTGTACAATATCTTCAATAATGATTGGTATTGATGCATGCCTAAACGACAATAAGATATTTTCTTGAAAAGAAATGCGGTATGTCGGTCATTCATTGACTGGAATGTCAAAGAAGTTCCTCGACGATCATTTTTCGTTGTTTCTGGTAAGAATCTTAGCCGAGTCTTATCGGATTCTTACATAACAAGTCCACATGAAAATGACAAGAATTTCGTTGGAATCCGATAAGAATCACGTAAGATTTAAATAAATGGTATTTCCTCCCACAAGAAACAACTCAATGAGTTAGTTTTTTCCCCATACTCATCCTATGGAACAAGAAAAGGGTGAACGTTTAGCTTCAAACGGTTTATTAGAGCCCGAGTTATAATAGAACAACTTTCGAAATCTCGCCGGACATTTTCTATGAAAATAACATTCTGATTGTACTATTCTGAGACGATTTTGCTTCCACTGAAAAATTTAAAAAGAAATTCTTTGCTTGCCAAATTGTTAAGCTATTTATGTTATATCTTCCTGACTACTTGAAAATTTGTTGAGATCAAATGTTTGATATAGAAGACTACGTTAAGTCTCGCCGTACATCAAACACCAAAGTGTTTGTAAAGACAGATTTAGGTTAAAACTGCTAGGAAAACTTAGTTTTATTGAAATATAAAGTATATATTGTGAAAGTTCAGATGTAGGACTACAAATGACATCAAAGTCCAGAAAAAACAGAGTCGAATATGAAGATAGATAAAGTTTTATAATTATAAATAATTAATTCTTTTGGACAAAATGAGAAATGCTCACGGAAATAACATGCTTCTGATCCTGGTTGACAAAATTTTGAAAAAAACATGCAAAAGACATCGGTTACTAAAAATAAATCTTTTTTATGCCAAAAGCATGGAAAAGATCACAGTAAAAAGCATGTAATATATGTTGTTTCGTCTATATGATGAAAAAACATGGTTTAGATCTCGGAAGTTGGTCGAATTGTAGACAAGTCTGAAAGAATATAAATGTATTTACTAACTAAACATGTAGTTCATTTCACATGGTAGTTATGGTATCACTTGTTTCAATTGATGACATGGAATTCATATGATAATTTTGTAGAGTGGCTCCAATCCGCACGATTGATAAATTTTTCTCGTTTTATACCACCAGTGATATGTACGTGTCGATATGGTATGAAGGAATACGCTTGCGTTCATGTTGTTGGGCCCATGATGATGGTCTGGTGTATTCCACAAGTTATTGGAAAACGATGTACAAAAGGGTGTCGAAAAAAAGCGAAGGGAGTTTCATCAAAAGATTAGTAATAAAAGTCCTAGTATTTCTTTGCCTATTTTCATATTTTTTGTTGAGTCATTGAAGCTGAACATTAACTAGAAAACTAGGTGAAGTATAAATTAGACGGAGAATAAAGATAGTTTATACACTCAGAAGTAACGGCAGTCAGCGGGATCCGTTGGCAGCCAAGGCTTGATTTTTTCAGAAGCCAATAAGCATTCCTAAATAAACAAAAAAACAGAAATATAAAATCCGTTTAGTAATAAGAAATGAGACTTATTCTTTATTCCTAATGAATAAGGAATAATTTCTTATTCTTTATTCTCAGTTTCTTTTTTAAAAGATAAACTTTTCTTCCTTATTCCCAAGAAAAGAACATAAAAAAATAATTCCACCCAACCATCCACTTTTGAAAAAACATTTCCCAAAAAGATATGAAAGCAAGATGGTATATCTACGTTTGTGTACAGAATCGAATCAGCGCGTCT